GGGGGGTAAATATATATAAAAGATAATGTAATAAGAGTTAAATTATACTCAATTATACTGGCACATACCATAATAAGTAATTTGATGTCATATTGTTTGTGTGACATATAATAATAAAAAATTTCTTACAGCATCTTTTTCTCTTTAAATAAAATATTAAATTTATAATTTAATAATATAGCAATGTTTAGAAAAACATTAGTAATTATAGCATTATGATAAGAATTGTAATGGTTAAATTATACTGGACGTTATGACAGATTATGAAATTTGGTTTTCCCGGATTGGATCATGTCAGGTCGTACGAGGATTTCGTATTGTCGTATGACAGGAGAAATAAAGTTGCTCACTGGGTGTTTGAGCACTTGACTAAAGACAGACTACAGTGTAAAAATGAAGTGAATCGTTCAAAATGCGAGTTCAAGCCTGATCAGAGTATACATCCTTTCTTCAGGTGAACGAGAGAATAAAAGCGTAATTACTAAAATGATTTTTACATATTAATATTAAAATTGCACAAAAGAGGAAGATCACAATTTAATTTAGGAAACTAATTTGCTAAAATTAATTGAATCTTAATCTTAACGAGATGCCGATAGATCAGAGAATATAGATTACAAGGGAAGTGGCTATGACCGTGGTCACTTGGCTGCAGCTGGAAATCATAGAGTGGAACAAAATCACATGGAGCAAACCTTTCTTCTCTCCAATATGGCACCGCAAATCGGTGTGGGCTTCAACAGAGATTCCTGGAACAGATTGGAGAAACATGTTCGAAAATTGACAAATGTCTATAAAGATGTTTATGTGTGCACAGGACCATTGTATCTTCCCAAGTGCGTCTATTTCCTTGTAATTTCCTTCCATTTTGCTTCTTGTAGAATATATTATACAACAAATATTTTCTTATTAGCCTGTTTTCCTTATAATGTTAATTTTTAAAATTATTGTAATAAAAATTCAATTTAATTTGTTTTATTTATAGAAAAGGATCAGATGGAAAAAAATATGTACATTACGAAGTGATAGGCGCGAATCATGTTGCGGTACCTACTCATTTCTATAAGGTGATTGTTGGAGAGACAAATGACTGCAAATTGGATATGGAAGCTTTCGTGATGCCAAACGCGCCAATCGATGATAACACGCCACTCACTAATTTCCAGGTACATGTGTGTGTTATGTGTATATAACATTAAGAGTCTTGTGCGATAAAAACAATTAAATCCTTAACAATTAATTGGAATATTAAGATTAAATAAAATAGAGTAGTAAAGAACCTAAATAACAAGCTATAGTATCTATTAGTATTTATTAGTATCTTGGGTATATAAAATAAGATGTAAGAAATGAATTTATGAAAATATAATAATTGTGAGAATATAATCAATTTTAATAGGTACCACCAGAGAGAATCGAACGCGCTGCCGGACTCTTATTCTTTGACAAAATATCACGCGATAAACTAAGCAAGGTGAACGGCAAAAGGATAGTCTAGCTTTAACAACTGCTCTTAAACAATAAAAAAATCTCAATTTTGAATTACTTACAATTTTAAAGATTCTTAATTTCTGACATGTCATCAAGCATTATATATATATATATGTCTAATCAATTAAAAATTCTATAAAACTATTATTGTATATGATTTTTAGAAATTTTATCAATTACGACATTTTTTGTATTATTTTAGCTATATTTTATCGAAATAATAAATATAGATTTGTTTGTTAAATTATGTATGCATTTATTGATTTTGTACATTTAATTATCCGCTCGGAATCGCCTTATATCTTATGTAACATGCTGTATATAGGGAATACTCTTATATTTCGATTTGTCGTGATCACATTGAATAAAATGCTCATGTTTAAATTTACATATTTATTTCCTTCATCTCTTTTGCCAAGAGAGATAGAGAAAGTCTGGGTACAGATATACTTGTGAAATAAATTATATTTTTATGAAAAACTTTACACAAGTGAGAGAAAAAGATATTAATTTTCCTAAATTACATGTAGTCGGGCAATTTTTAAACATATTTTAGCATAATAAAGTAATAAAATTACAAAAAATGGATTAATTTAATCTATTTTTATGGAATATATTTAGGCCTCTTCATATTTTCTTTCTTTTCATTTTATGTTAAAAATTCAGTCTTGAACAAACGCTTTAAAAAGATGAATCAGATATGCTTACAAAAAAACTTGCGTTTTATAGAATAAATTCTTATAACTCTTAAAATCACTTCGCCGCTCTACTTTGGTCGTGGTAATATAATTACGTACCGATTAATTAAGTACCATCCGTTATCATTAAATAATACTAATAGCCATACAAAAATTCTAAATTTGATAAAGTCCTTAATAATCTTCTAGGTTTATGAGCTAGTCTATGTACAAAATTAACAGACGCGACAATAGCGCCAGTCTTATGCGAGCGCTTGAAGTTCTCTTTTTTTCTAATTTGCTAGCATCGCGGAAACGCTCGACAAAATTGTCATCTATTCACAGTAAGTCGGAATACATGTCGCCGCTTAACGATATTTATGACATAGTATATTATATATAATTCACGCATAGAGAGAAAGATAGGCAAATTAAAAGAAATTCCATTACACGATTTAATTAAAAAAATTAATTTAAAAACAAAAAAGACGGATTAAAATCGAATTAGAAGAAGATAAAATTTAATAAAAGAATGAACAATGAAGAATATTAGAAATAAACTAAGGTAAAAAGATAAAAAAGATTATATGTTATGGTTTCTAAGAGAAAAGATCTTATTAAAGCTAAATTAAAAGAAAAATTATTACAAATTTAATTAACATTGAACTCTAGAGGGAAACAAAATTTAATTAAATTAAAAAGAAATAGTATGTGTGTGTGTGTAATGAATAGCAATAAAAAGGAATTAAATAGTTTGAAAATAGTAAGAAAAAGAATGGATGACATAAATGAAATCAGAAAACAATACAATAAAGAAATACGCAATTTTATAAAATTAATCTTTGGAATTTTGAGGATTAAAAATTTGAACTGGCAAAACAAATTCCTGCAAAATTCCTTTAATTCGCCTATTCTTTCGCAAACATAAGAACATTTATGCATTATTCTCGGAGATCTTCCATATATTTCCCTTGTACGTTTTTTTTTGGAATGTTGTCCAGTTTCCTCCTTTTGTTCTTTCTTTTTCTATCAATATTGCATGCATCGCTTATAAATAATAACTCTTTAAGAAAAATTAGGCACTAAAATGGACGGGTTTGTTTGCTAGGATTTGCCTCCTTCGAGTATTGCTTAACATCTTAAGGACACTTTTGAGAGCTTTAAGTACACTTTGTTACAATCTACATGATCTATTTTACGCGTATCATTTACAGAGTGTGTTTCAAAGAGAGAGAGAGAGAGAGAGAGAGAGAGAGAAAGAGAGAGGCATAAATCACTCTCTTTACTGTTATTCTATGAAATCCTTTTATTGCTTTTAATATCCATAAATTTTAAAATTCATGTATCTTTTAGATACGAAGCTTCTCGAGCTTATTTTCCAGAATTTTTGGATTTATAAATTTTCAATTTTTCGGATCTAATTGCATTATTATTGGTCCCACAGATTCAATTAAATAAATTCTCATTTAAGATTCTCATTTTAATAATTTCCGAAACATAAATTATTTAAAAAATATGTTGCACACATATGTATCTTTCCCTGGGGCATTTTTTATGGCTTTATGGTATTCAGGAAACTTGAAGCAACATAATGCTTTTATTTCATTCCAACGTGATGCGGAGTTTCCGAAACCTATTAGCAAAATATGATCAATGATCGTTTCTTTTTGATGGCAAAATACCATCGAGAAATATGTTGCAAGAAGGTTTATTAAATTAATTATTAAATTAATTATTGATAAATATGCAAAACAAATTACATCAATCACCTTGATATGTTTGAGATATATTGTATTTAGATGATTGATATAAATGCTTATGAGGGAGAAAATGTTAGGCATTTTTATTTGCTCTGAGATATATCATTTTAAATCACTTTTCTATTTATCAGTCTACATTTGACTGAGAATATATTTCACTCAAAATTCTATCTCGCAAAATGTATCTCAAAATTAAAATGATTGGTAAAATATAAGCTTTTATGCATATTTATCTTATTATTAATTTCAAAATCTTTTAGCCCATATAATTATCGTATAATCAACGAATTAAAAGGATTTCACGGAAATTTTTGAACTAGTCTCAAAGTAGTTTAAAATTTAAAAAAAATGTTATAGAAAATTTTTTCTAATTTTTTAATATCTTTTTGTTGTGATGAAATAACGAAGATACTAGAAGACGCGATGAGTAACCGTTTTAATTTACGGTCATTCATCGAGTAATTTGCATTCTTTAAATTGAGAAACTTCGCAATCGAACAAATCGCGTTTTCGGAAGACTAGGTTATACAAACATATTCCTCGATATATGGAACACGAAAAATCGACGAAATTAATTGTTAATTTCAACGTCATGTTAAGAGATATAACATAAGTTTTAATAATTTGAATATTACGATATCGTAAATACAATCGTGACTTTAATTTATATATACATTGGGTAAAAAATTTAATGTTAGAAGAATCTTGTCTCGGAAACTCCATTTCAGAAAAAGATTTTAATACAAAAGCATAATTTTATCCTTATTATTTGTTTGCGCTTATAAAATATGCTCTTTTGAAAAAAGCAGCTTCCACGTATCGAGGTTTGTCTGCATTACTTTAATTAAATCAATTATGTGTCTTCGATTAGATTAATCTTTCTTCTGGTGGAGGTTTCATTACATTATCCATTTCCACTCGTGGATTGCTGAATTCTTGAGCACTAGGACTATACGTGCCACGTGTTGCACGCTTCTTTCTTGCCATCATAAAAAACGCAACAAGGGAGCCAATAGCGATGAGAAGAAGACAGCCCACGATCGGGCCTACAATCACCGCTATATCGAGGACTTGGCTACCCAACTTGTTAGCTACAGTATCTCGCTAAAAAATATTTATTTTTTAAAATTATTAATAGAGAGAGAGAGAAGTGGGGAGAGAAATTTAAAAACAAGAAAATATTTTTTGTATGATAATATAAATTTACAGAATATAATATACATTACATACGTTATAGGTTTTTTGTAAAATCAGCCTTTTTACAAAAAGGCTTATGTTAGCCTTTGTATAAAACGTCGATTCTATATAGAAACTGGCGTTTTATAATAAGCTTAGTAGTCTTTGTAAAAAAAAGGCTGAATTTATAAAAAGTTTGCAATACACGCACACGCGCGCACGTACGCACCCACGCATGCACACACCCATATTTATAATAAATATTTATAATAGAAAAAAAATAGAAAATAATATTTAAAAAATTACTTATATATAATGCTTCGATCTTTTCATAAATTATAGTTTCTCTATATGAAAGGTAATATTCTAATATAAAAATAATAATATGATAAAATCAATGTTACAAATTATAATTTTTAATTAGAAAAAAATGTATATATGTTTGGAACTTTTAATTAGAAAAACATGTATATATGTTATAAAAAAATTTGAAAACTTTTATCAATTATTAAATAATATTTATTATAAATATATATACGTTCTCTATTTCCTATATCGCAAAAATTCGAGAAACGAATACTTGCTTCTTGTTTGCATAACTATATAATGCAGAATGATAACATACTATACTTTGTGTGTTATTACTGAGTTTATCACATTATTGAGATAAACTAGTTTTTATCTCTTTGTATCTTGTGTGTACATGTTCTAATCTAATTTTCTCTCTGAATTTTATCTTACCTCTGTACAATTTTGTCCCATGTATTCAAAAGTGCAATGGCATTCGTATCTGCCATCGTCAGCACATTTACACGTACCACCGTTCTGGCAATAATCCTAAATATAAAGTCAAAACAAGATTAATTAATATGCTTATTATATATGCATTATACAAACAAGTAAAAACAAAACGAATGAATACAATTATTATGTCGTTTCACTATCTCATTATAAATTTACTATAATTTTATTGAAGTTTCTCGAAGAAGGCTCGTAATTTAACAAAATCACCATCGATTATATCGTTTTTCTCAATTTTCCGAAATCTTATCTATTATTTTTTAAAAACAGAGTTTCTGTTTTTTGTTTATTAAATTTCAGCAATATAAAACTTTTAAATGCCTGTTACTTATCACGCTTTTTATCATTTTCTTCTCATTTTATTTTTTAACATTATGCTGAAGGGCTCACCTCCTGGCAGGGATCCACCATGTTGCAATTATTGTATCCGCAATAGCCGGGATCACAGATGCACTGGTAGGTACCAGGCAGATTCTCGCATTTACCGTGTCCGCAATCGATCTCCGAGATTTGACACTCGTTCACGTCAATGGAGCAATCGGGACCTGTGTACCCGGTGCCTTGGCAGTCGCACGTAAAGCTATTCACTCCGTCGTAACATTTGCCGTCGTTCTTGCAGGGCACGTTACCCTCAGGATCTGGCGCACAATCGTCGATGTTGGTCTCGCAGTACATGCCGGAGTAACCGAGAGTGCAGATACATTTCGGCGTCTATTTTATAACGGTAGAATAATTGCATAATGAATAGAAAACACAAAGAAATTTAAAAAATTTTAGCTTAAAGATTGTATAAAACTCGGAATCAAAATTTGAATTTAAAAACTTAAGTATTCGGGGG